CCATCATTGGTTGGTAAAATTTTGATATTTTGGGTCTGGTAAGTCTTGTTAAACTTTCTTCTTAGGAAGCTGTAACCTTATGGAGAATAAAAATTTAATGTTAGATCAGAAGCTCTTAATTGAGAATTATATTTGCAAAGGCCGTTTTAATAATATTTTCAAAAGTTTTTGGAATCGTTGTTAACAGAAACCTGCAAAAAAATATATCAATTTATTCCTAAAATATAAGATATCACACAATGCACATTCATATAATATCATTGTGCTAGAAAAATACTAGGTAGGTACTGAGACAATTTAAAAAAAGTATTTCGAGAAACTCAACTTTTAATGTCATCATTGTACTTAACTTTTTTATTGCTAAATTATTAATAATGTCATTTTGTGTAGTTCGTTGTGATTTGTATAATATATATTATAAAAACCTATCGTCAATGTTAATGTGCCAAGTTTTTTTAATGATTATGTCCTTGTTATAGTAAAAACACATTTAAACACATTTTAAAGTTTTCTGGATTTCTGCTTTACATTATCGTACAATTGAACTGACTAATTGTGTGTTTAAGTAAAGGTATATTTTTTTTTGTTATAACAGTCTTTCTATATTGTTCTAACTTTTTAGATAATCAGAGAAAACAGTAAGACATCTTAATATATCCTATTTCACCAACAAAAATGTAGAATAATTAATTTCACATCAGACGAAAAAAGTCATTTTAGGATGTCCTAATAGGTTTTAACTTAAAAACTAAATAAAATGTATATTGCAACTGTGTTTAAATAAATGAATGTTTTTATACCTGGCTATAGCACCAGACGAATATTTTTTTAGATCATAATGATCTGCATAACTCAAAATAGTCAAAATCCGCATTATTTAAGTTGTTCTAGTATTGTTTTAGCATAACGATGTAAACTCCAATAATAAATATTCACATTTTTTTGGGACGTTTTTTAAAGAAATTAAAAGAAACATGAATAATGCGATATTCTTGTTTAGTTTGGTACTATATAATATAGTTCATTAGGTAGTGATTTAGAAGCAAATTATGTTCTATTTATAGAATAAAAAATCACTCATAATATCTAAATATTTATACCTATTTATATTTTGGACAGGAAGACTATTTTATGTTTTTGACTCTGAATAGTTTTCTTAAGAATTTTTAAACCTTCCTTAGCTCTTTTGGGATATTCCATGCATATCCTAGAAGTTCATTTTGTTTAAACCTAAAACAAATTGAGTACAAAAATGAAAATTTAAACAATACACAAAATTAGTCATTTAGATTAGTTAAAAAAAAGTGTCAAAAAAAATGGCTATGCCTTTTTCCTTAAACATTCTTTTTGAAAGAAAATTAAGTTTCTCTACTTACTTGCTGTTTTAGTATTTTAGTAGCAGATGAATATAGTGTAAAAGTAGTGACAGGATTGATTAATATACTTCTTTCGTCAAAATTGCATTTCTCTTTAATATTCTCCTCCCCTGAGGTCTGTAATAAAAATGTTCATTAGCATAAAAAGTTATTCAGGTGGTCACTTGTTGAATTCCTATATTTTGGAACCATGTATTTCTTTCTCATATCAAGAAAAGTAAACCAAAAAAAAATAACAATAAACTTTACAAAGATGTGATATTAAAATAATAATAAGTAATTAACCTTTACTATAATCATTATGAGACGGATGAAGACGAATTTAGCTGGAGTTTACTTGCTCTTAATTTTAATTTTTCGATAAAAAAATAAGAAAGTTTAATTGCAAATTAAAGGTGATTGCCTAATGCACCGCCTCTGATTAGGTTGTGTCTGTACTTACTTATGATATTATCTTGAAGAAGCATTTTCAACAGGCCTTTTACACATAAAGCATGTTTTTACCATATTATTTGAGATAATAAATCTTAAATATACATTTACAACCCTTACAACGTTATAAATAATAATATTTTCCGTAAAATACAAATAAGAAATTGACATGTGTCAGAAAGTGTCAGAACTGGCGCTGTCAAACTTGGCAACGCTGATTAAATAAGCCAATTACAGAAGAGGTATTTTCCCCCTCGGGGGGAGTAGATGTTGCTAACAAAATTTAGTGCGGGGAAGGGGGGAAGACTCCCTCTAGTAGTAATTGCTCGGAGAAATAAACCATTGTAAAGGACGTTTCAATTCAGTCTCAATATTACCTACTATCGCAACCCATAGCCGCCAAATCATCTAGTTCCAAATTGTTGTTAGCTAAAAAGTCCAATATTGCTTTTCCAATTGACTTTGCCGTCTCTAAAGTTGGAGTTAAATGACCAATATAGATATATTCAGCTTCCTCGATAAGCGATATGTGTTCTTCGACAACAGTTTTCTTGTATAATCTACCGTTTTTCTTCCCTTGCAGTAAAGTTTTGTTCTTTCTTCCATCAAAATACAGACTTCTTATTCTTCTGTTATCACCTTCAAACTCCTTTTTTCTAGATTTCTTTCGCTCTCCTCACTTTATTTTTGTCAACTATTTTCGACGGATCTTCTGTGGTAATTATTTCTACATCTTTCAATACTACACTAGCAATCGCAGCAGCTGATCGATCAGATATACCATATTTATCGCATACAAGACCTAACGTAGGTAACTTTGTTCTCATTTGAGTGTTTTTTGAGGTAGAGGGTAAGTCTGGATTGATAAAGTCGTCATCTGAAGAGGATTGATATTTTGAGGGGTCAGATTTTGACCCTAACAATAATGTAATAGTTTCAGAGGAACAGCTGAGTCTTTATAAATTTACAAGATTCTGATTTAAATGTTGTTTCTTAGTAGGTAGTTTCCGGGTTTTTTCACACATACATGCAGAAAAACCGCATTTACAAGCAGCTATGTCAAGTAATTTTTTATGACAGTCTATTTTAAATGTACATTTACCTTTTCGTCATCATAGCTATTGTTTCCTTGCTCCTGGGATATCTTATTAAGTTATTATATTTTTCATCATACTTTCGTATTACTTGCACAATTATGTCTTTTGAAACAGTTGGAATTGACGCCTCTTTCCAAATGTTTTTAATTTTAGGCACAAGTTCATTGCAAACTTCTAAAAAATATTGTTGATAATATTTACTTGCTTTATATCTTGATCGTCTGTATGCTCTGCAATGTGCCTTGGAATGGCACATAGGCTTAAAAATTTTATATTTTTTAACCAACCTTAAAAACGTTTGATTATTTCTTCGGACACTTTTTGATCCCATGAAAGTTTTAACTTCCAAGTTGCCTGTAATAAAAGCTTTGGTAATAAAGTAACAGGTGCTGTGAAGCCAATGGGATCAAAAATTTTTTGAGCTGCGGGTAGTAATCCTCGTTTGGTTCTTGGTATTTCTTGAAATTTGCCTTAATTTTAGATATCGCATATAAAATTATCATATTTAAAATCCCTCAAAATACGTAACACTGAAACATTATGATTAGAATTACCAGGTTCAAAATTATTTTCATTTGTACTATTATATGTCCACCCTCTTAATTCAAAATTTGCCTTTTCTAATAAAACTTTGGATTGTTTGATAAACATTTTCAACTCTATACTGTTTCTATCACTATTTACACTATTATCTACATAAAAGGCATTTAATAGTACTTTGGTGGTTTCTTTAAATTCATTATCATTTTCAATCAACTTTTCTAAATGTAAATTAATGGTAGCTGCTAAAATAAAAGGACTAGGTTTAAGATCAAAAACAACTCTACAGTGCCTATATATTTTAATAATTCTTTCAGAGTAATTTTGCCACCACAAAAAAAGCAAATAATATCTTTTTTTCACTATACTTATTTGCAAAAAAGCCTTTGTAATATTCGCTGTAAGCCCAATTTTATGGATTCTAAATTTTATTATAACCGGAATTATTAATTCAAATTTGGACCTTTTTGTAACAAATAATTTAATGAGTTACCACTTTTGTCCTTTGCTTGAACCATCAAATACCGGTCGTGTCTTGGTTGTATTACTTGACTCCTTAACCACTGCATGGTGAGCCAAATAGTGCACATTTTCATTAACATTTTCTTCTGATACTTCTTCAATTATTCCTAGTTTTCCCATTCTTCAAACACTTTACCGTAATCTGTAAACTTTTCAAGTGTAATTAATCTTCTAGTGTTTGAAAATAACTTATTTCACAATCATTATTACTTGTGTCACTTTAAATTATATCTTTATTTTTCAAATACTCAATTATTTTTATATCATTTAGCTTTGGAATGTAGTTACATATTCTTTGTTGTTCCAGTACTGAAACACTTATGCTAAAAGGTTCATCTAACTTATGAATATTTGCACTAAATAATTGATACATTTTGGATTCGCCTTGGGATCCACCAAATACACCTCGCAATATATTTTCCTCTCCTAATTTTAACAAATTTATTTCATCTGCACATTTTTTTTTTTACCTAAGACCTTTGAAAACCTGAATCTAATAATATTCTAACAATTTTACATTTATTACCTGTATATATAATATAATAATATTTATTTCTACTAAATGATTTTGAAGTTATTTGTACCTACTTTCGTGTTTTTTTTTTATTATCCAAGTTAACACTTACTTTCAATATAACTCCTTTTTTCATGAATAACGTAGATATAGACAACACATTATACACTACTTATGATATTTTCAGTTTTTATATTTATTTCTTAAAATAGTATGATCGTAGAAAAAATATTGTGTGCATTTTGAGCGAAAAGTTCGTTGGCGCTTCCGACAAATTGCGGCGCTCCGCTACGCGTCACGCGGCAACTTTTGTCTCGAGCGGCAAAGTATCACTTTTCGCTCTTAATGCACAAATAGCTATTCTAAATGTTTTTTGTTGGCACGCAATCTTTATTTACTAGTTGTAGCCCCCGGGGTTTATTTTGCTTCTGTTCCGCCTATGGCCATTTAAACCATTCGATCATTATGTTATCATCCTATTACGTTAGTCATTGTCATTTATTTTTCCTGCTTTATTATATGCGAATCATTTTAATCATTTAAGTGGCAAAGTACTCCTTTTAATGTAAAATAAAAAAATGTAACCGGTTCGACTTGTTTGTCCCATTGATTGTTAAATTTTTCCACTGATTTCAGATCAGACACTACGTTTAAATCTTTTGTCCGGTCGAATCAAATCAAAAGTTGTGGTTTCGGTTATTTTTTGCGATTTATAATTTTTGTTTTATTCGGTTTTTTATCGTTGGTGTCGTTTTGTTTTTTATTTCATCAGAAAAAATGTCTCAAACTAAAACAGAAAAAAATTCTGATTATAATCAATTACCAACTACTATGGTTTCTATGGCAGAAGTTGATGAGGTAAGATATTTTTTTAATTTTAGTATTTTCTCCGAAAATTGTATGTTTTAATATACATTTGGTTCTTGTAGTAATAATTACTGTAGATGTACATAAAAATGTAACAAAATTATGTTTAAAAATTTTTTCGCTTCTGCTTTAATATACAAGAAATATGAATGAAAACTATTGGCCCTAAATAATTTTAAAGGTTAGAATGAAAAAAGACAAAATATACGGTCAAAAATCATATAAAAGGGAACATATTCCCAAAAAAATAGAAGAAAAACAAAAGCAACTTCCAAACGATTTACTTTACACCTCAGGATACCCATTCAATAACTCGTGGAGAATGCTCCTACACGACAGCTCCATCACTCTCTTGCTCACCGCTCACTGATGCCTTTTAATTTTAGGCGAGTGACATGCTCAGTAAGGCCAAATTGTGAGAGTCCTACACGACTACTCTAACAGTTACTGAATAAGGGTCAAGGTATGCACTTATGGAATCCAATATTGGAGAAGAATAGAAAATAGCAATAATATACAGGGTGTTCCAAAAACATGGGGGTTGATGGTCATGGATGGGATAGGGTGAAAGTTGCAACGAGTATACATAAGCAAAGAGACATCTAATTCTATATGAGTTTTGACTCTAAGAACCTAGTAGAACCTTCAGTATTTTAAGTAGTATCTTCAGTATTTTCAGTGGTATCTGAAGTATCTTCAGTAGTACTTCCAGCATTGGCTCTAGTAACCAGCTTAGTAGCCAGCCTGATGTAGCTCCAGTAACATCAAGTTATCTCCAGGAACGCAGCTTCCAGTCCGATCTAGTTATAATTGACCCAGGACCGGCTACATCGAGGGACTAGTAAACACCAAACAGCCAACAGGCTACAATGACATCATGAATCTTAAATCGTAAATTAAATTTTAGTATAATAAATCTTAAATCTTGAATTTGTCATATTGTAACCTCCATTAATTTTTGGTTTACTTAATATATGTATTAAGGACAGCGTCTCCTAGGAATTTCTGAACAAAATTATGTCAATTTAGATTCAATCAAGGAGGTGCTGTTACCTACCGACTAGAGATTGAATTAGTGCAAATTATTACAGAAATCTTTAAGTAACTATAAATATCAACCGACTAGCTATTAGGGGATATTGTATTATAAACCGGTTTTTAGTAGACTGAGTTCGAAGGATCATAATAATAGTCCTGAACATAAAATCTATTTTTCAATAATTGCCGGGATTTTACCAAATAAAAAAAATTATTTCGTGATTGTGAAAACGGTCCAATCGTTTTATATGCCATTTATAATATTATAAAAATGTTAACTCTAGGACGATATCTTGCCTCACATTAAATATAAATATTTCCTAAAACAAATAATTTGGTTTATATACGGGTAGTAATACGAGGGATGTTTATAATTTCAAGTCACGAATATAGAGTCGTTTCAAAATATATTGCCACAATAATTGCGTCACATTGAGTCGGAGTGGGACGCTTGACGTGTCGCAATTCGCAATATATTTTAAAACTATTCTACCTAATTAATAAATTGTGATTTTGAAGTATCGAATGAAAACTATATTCTCATTGGTTAAAGATGGAAGTTTTTGTCATTTGAATATTCAAGAATATTAATTGTGATTAATTGGTTAAATACCGAAGTTATCTGTTATCTGATGTTGGTACTAACCTAATGTTTTTGGTTAATTTTGACTGTCATTTCCTGGAATTTCCAGGCCCGCATAAATATTTATCCTATTAAAGTACAAAAACCCTACAATAGATATTATGAGTAGGTATTTAACATTCATTTATCTTATCTAAAGAAACTAAAAGGGAAAAATATATACATAGTCGAAGATTTGACAGTTGAAGAGCGAAAAGAACATAAGGTACTGGTACATCACCTAAAAGAAGCTCGAGGAAACAATCAAAAGGCCCACATATTTCGAAAAAACTTGTATATAGATGGCCAGCGGCACACATACAATGATCTAGTGCAGAAGAGTAACATACATAGTGTAAGAATAAATGTCAACGGCGACGATGAAGCAACCCAAAGTGACCAATCTTTACCTGCTGAGAAAAACTACGAAGATTTGAATTCAAAAATTCATCGAAGTAATTCCAGCTCCAGTACTAAAAGTGAAAGAAATTTAAGAAGCAGCAAAAAAGAAACCGTTTAAATCGTAGTCAATTAAGTACGTACTTTTTAGATATTTTAAACAAACTTTATTTTATTTTATTTTAATTCATGTATTGATTTTATTATTCATTGTTAAAATACTTAGTAGTAGATTGATAATTATTTTATACTGTAATTTCTTTGTATGAAATCAATAGTTACAATTCATTATCTTTATGGATCCTTATATACGAGATTTTAAAGTAGAAAAAATATCAACATATTCTCTAAACACTGCCAATGAAGCAAAAGAAGTTTTATCTATAAATAATAGTTCTAAAAATTTTAAAATTCTTAATACCAATATTAGTAGTGTTTCAAAAAATATAGATGAGTTAAAAATTTTTCTTGAAGGACTTGGAACATCTTTTGAATGCATAGTTTTAACAGAAACTTGGCAGGTTCCGGATACCTCTTTCCTTGATATGCCTAATTACATAACCCTTTATAGTGAAGGTGGATACAATCAAAATGATGGTGTTATTGTCTTTGTAAAAGCTAACCTGTACCAGAATCATAACCAAATTCAACTAAATGAAAGTATTTTACTTAAAATTAAATTAATGGTAGGTAGACAATCTGTTGGCATTTATGCCTTCTACAGATCTCCAACAAGTAGAATTAATGATTTTTTAGACCAACTAAATGATATATTAAATGAAGGCAATGATAACTTTCATCATAGTTTATTTATAGGAGACATAAACATTGACTTATTAAGGAAAACTGAAGATTCAAAAAATTATCTTGACATGATGAGTGAGTATGGGTTTCAATCAACCATAAATACTGTGACAAGGGAAAGAAATGGATCTAAGTCATGTATAGATCATATATTTATAAAAACAGAACAACAAAATTATGATAAACTAATACCAATCACTCTCTCTACTACAATCACTGATCATTACATAACTTTATTACAAATTGTATTAGAAAAAGGAAATGGTAATCTCATGCACAATAATAATGACAAATATTTAAAAAAAATAGATGAAACAATGTTACAAGAAGTTAGTAGACGTATTAACTGGGAAGTTGAATTATACCCAATACAGGATCTTGAATCTGTAACAAAGAAATTTATTGATTTAATAAACACTTGCATACATAAATCTACTAAATATATTAAAATAAAAAATAGTGAACGAAAAAGAAAAAATTGGATTACGAAGTCATTAATTAAACAGGTAAATGAGAAAAATAACTTATATTTATTATGTAAACAAAATCCAAATAACGACAATATGAAAAATAATTATTTAACATATAAAAAAGAAACTGAAAAGAATATAAAAAGTACAAAAAAGGAATATTATAAAAAATTAGTAGAAAATGAACAAAAATCAAGTAAAAAACTTTGGAACACGGTAAATGAAATATTAAGTATTAAAACAACAAAACAAATAAATAACATTAAAAACGAAAAAAATGAAATTGTTACAGATCCTAATGAAATTGCAAATATATTTAATAACTTCTTTGCCAATGTAGGACAAAACTTAGCAAAAAATATAAATAAAAATCCAAACTATAAAAGTAAAAAATCTACTAATAATAACTCAATTTTCTTAACCCTACAAATATAACTGAGGTACAAAACACCATACATGGTTTAAAAAATAATAAATCTCCTGGGGAGGATGGAATAAAAGCTGAAACGTTAAAGATTATTTCACATTCTATAAGCAAACCCTTGACAGACATCATTAATAAATCAGTTGAAACAGGCTACTTTCCCTCAATTCTAAAAATCTCAATAATAACCCCAATATTTAAAAGTGGAGATACCGAAAATGTCACGAATTATAGGCCTATCTCGTTATTGTCATCAGTTAGCAAAGTTTTTGAAAGAATTTTAAAAACTAGACTAAATGCCTTTTTATCCAAATATAATCTGCTGTCAACATCGCAGTATGGGTTTAGAGATAATAAATCTACACAAGATGCAATACATTCTTTAACAAAAACCATCTATGAATCTTTAGACTCAAGCACTCCATCTATAGCAGTTTTTCTGGATTTAAAGAAAGCCTTTGACACAGTGGATCACTCCATACTTCTAGATACACTGGAAGATATGGGTGTACGAGGTACAGCGCATAAGTTGTTTAAAAGTTATTTAACAAACAGAAAACAGAAAGCAAAATTTAAAAATATAATTAGTGGAGAGGTAGAAATCACGTGTGGCGTACCTCAAGGGACGGTGCTGGGGCCGTTGTTATTTGTAAGTTATTTAAATAATTTATTCATACAGGATACTATCGGTAAAATTATAAGCTTTGCGGATGACACTATAATATATTATACGAGTAACAACTGGTACAATCTAAAATTAAGCATTGAAAAGGATCTTAATAAACTCAAAGACTGGTTTGATAGTAGATTACTTTCAATCAATTTTGAAAAAACTCTATACATACCTTTTAGTAGCTATGACATATCTTTGCCGGAATACAGTCTTAAAATCCAACAAAACTTTTCAATAAAACCTGCGAAAAAGATCAAATACTTAGGGATATATATAGACAATCATCTCAGATGGGACTATCACATAGATTATTTAACAAAAAAACTACGTAGTATTTTATTTAAATTTAAACAAGTTGTAGGATTTTTGGAATATAAACATAGAAAAATTCTATATCATAGTTTGGTTGAATCACATCTTCATTATGGCATTATTGGTTGGGGAGGGGTATCAAGAACTTACCTTCGTGCACTTGAAGTCTCTCAAAAACGGTTTCTTCGAATAATATTCAATAAAACAGCAAGACATTCAAGCAATCTTCTCTATAGTGAATCACAAATG